TTAGATAGAGAAAAGAGAGAAATGAAGATGAAAAGTGATATACTGATAGGGGATCTCCACAGAAGGGAGATAGACTAAAGGAGGATGTAGAGAGAAAACAAAGCCCCCCGCTTTCCTTTTCACTCCCCTTTGATACATAAAAGAGAAAACCAATAAAATGATTCAAGCAGTACATCTTGTATTATATGTTGACTTTCTCCATTAGGGTTTAGTCCCTGGTACCTAAGTGAAATGATCGAGTCCAAAGTTTCGGGTGGCACCTTTAATAAGGGATTGACGAATGTTCTTATAAGTCATGATGGTTTCTTTTGATAGTTGATCTTACATAGGTGTGATGGGCTTTCTTTTCGAGGGAGTGAAAACGATCATTTTAGCAAATGAGCTTAATTCGATCACTTCGACGGGTGGATTTAATTCAGCCACTTCAAAAGATGCGTTTGATGCAACCACTTCAACAGGTGGGCTTCGTTCAACTACTTTAATGAATGAGCTTGATTCAATAAGAGAAATTTAGTGAAAATTCTCGTATACTTGTATTTGTGTGTGTGTGTTTGTTGATGAATTATCCACCCATAAAGCCTGCAATGTCATGATGGTATAAGATCTAAAGAAATATTTTTCAAATGCAAGTAAATTAAATATATATACTCATTAAATAAAAAAAAAGATTTAACTAAGCAAACAAAGTGGAAATAAGGATTTAGTTGGGATCAGTTATTTATTTATTTTGTTATTTGCACTTTGATTTGAAATAAAACATTATTGACCTTTTAAAGTAAATTTATTTATTTTTTTTTTAAATCTTCAAAACATCTAAAAATTATTATGATTGTTTTAAAAAATAATTTTTTATTTTTTTATAATCCTAAATTAAAAATACGTGAAGAATCAATAAACTATACCTATTTTAAAATAATAATAATAATAATAATAATAATAATAATAATAATAATAATAATAAACAAAAAGTGATTTAAAATAGCCACTAAATAAAAGTGCTAAAAATAGATAAAATTGTTCTGATTTTCATGCATAAATTTGGATTAGGAAAAAAAATTTCAACATTTTATAATGTTTGTAAAATTTTAAAAAACATTTGCCGCTCATTGGCTCCATAACAGATATATACGTCAACTTATTTATGTATAAAAAAGAAAATATTTTTGATGTGATATGAAAGATTTTGATGGTATAGACATAAACATAAAATTTAGGTATTAGATATGAAAATATATATGAATTGGATGTTATGTGTGTAAGTACTATTTTCTATTGTTACTTAAGGTTCCAATTTATGTAGTTTTGTCGCTCTATCGGTGGCATTCCCACACCTTTATCTTCTTAGATTACTTATATTAGAATATCCTAATAAAAATTTATTGTAAATAAAATTTAATTTTTTTTTATAGTTAGTGAAGTCTAATATTACACGTAATTTAAAGCAAATTCTATATTTTAAAACTCATTATCATGACAATGATTTTAGCATACTTTATCTATATTTTAAACCCTAAACCCTAAACATATCTAATACATAAAATTTAATGTTTACGTATACACTAATTGGATACATAGTGAATTTTGTAAAAAACTCTCACGCTAAATTGATCCCACTTGCTGAAGCGACTAAATTAAGCCTATCAGTCAAAATGTCTGAATCAAGTCAACTTGTTAAAAGCAGTCCATCTGATCATTCACTCCCCGTGAGAATAATCTCACCTACTTATATGGTGGTAGCAAATTGAGGAAGTTATCATGATCAACAAGGATAGGTTCAATCCTTCATTAATGATGCCACCCGATATTGGGGACTCGATCCTTTTCACCCATAGAACAAAGATGGATGTCGTATCAATAATAGCTGAAATTAGCCGGCAATACATAGCATTGACATCACAGTATTTTCATCAAAATACTATAGAAAGAATTCAATTAAATATAAATATATATTGCGCTAATTAATTTAATGAATTGTCTCTCTCAAAGATAAGGAGCGAGAGAAGAGAGAGAAAGGGCAGAGCCATCTCCTTCATACAAAATTGTGAATGACATTGATCTTAATCTTGGTACAAGGCTTAGAATCAATTCATTTGGAAAAATAATCAATAATGACAATGATATATTTTTTTTGTCCTTTCTCCACGGGAAAATGCCTCCTAAGGTCCATTTCCATAGAAAGAGTTCCCCACACTAGGCACACACTCACACTAAATGACTTGAACTTTCATACAAATAGTTCTTCATACTAGGCACTTATTGAAGCACCCACTTACAATGAAAGACTTTTATCCAATCCTCTTTAAACTCTCTACATCCTCGTCCAAACTCCTAAAATCACTCATATCTCTAAAAGTTTCAAAATTTGCATTTAATAACTATCCTATTGGGTTATCTCCCCACGCTTTTGCAGTTTTGGCACCTTGATGCTAGCTTCAAGTTGCGACACTCAAACATGGTGTTGTGATAGCAACTAGCGGCACTGCGGCTCGAGTTCCTGTCACCACAACATTGTCTTCTTTGTATTTTGATCTAAGAGATTGGTCGTCGATAGCAGTGTCGCCCTGAAAGTGGTACTGCATTGGCGTTAACTCTATCTCATACACTTGCCTTGGCATAGTGTAGTGACAATGACTTTGGGTGCTAAGCCATTGGAACTAGCGTTTTAGCGCTGATCACCGGGCACATAAGCGTTGAGCGCTAGGAAAAAAACTTCACTTTCGGGCTCTGACCTCGATGTTATGATGCTGGTACATGGGGTTGCAGCGTTCGAGCAAACTTCACAAAATTTATTCTTATGCAAAAAATTGTAGAAGCGACACTAAATAAAACCCATTTTTTATTAGTTTTCTCAAGTATTTTTCACTCAACAGTGTAGCCCTCATTCACAATCTTTACTAACAATTTATTGCATTTGTAGCTCAACATCATAGAAGATTTCTCCATGAAAACCTTAAAAAATCTCTTCATCAATTCTAAAATAATTTAGAAGCCTATTAATGATATAACATGACAATAATCAATTGAATACTTTTGCATCCATCATAGCTTTGTCGCTACCACCTACATTGCTTCTAGCTTTCTGAACCTCCACACTGCAAAAAAGGAATTTTTCAAAGAAAATAAACATAAATACAACATAATTCTTATACATTTACTAGTTCTACACCAAAAAATATGCAAAAAAAAAAAAAAAACATATTTTACTTTAATTACAATGATATTTAAATGTGCTATTGAAATTTGTGTGTTATACATATAAATATATAAAAAAATAAATTAATAGAGATATAAATAAATTAAAATTATTTGGTATTAATGTAAATGCCTCTTTTCTCTCAACTTTTTCGTAGGTGCAAAAATATTATTTAATTACAAATAATTTATTTTTAATTAAATAATTTAAAAAAACATTTTATTTCTCTTAACAATTATTATAAATTAGAACCACCTCCAAAATAAGGGAAATTTTTTTTTTTTCAAAATAAGGCCCCGTTTGATGAATTGAGTGTGCTCCGCTACTTTGAAGTAGGGCTGTCAATTTGGCTCGTTGTTCGTGAACAGCTCGTGTTCGGCTCGTTAAGCAGTTCGTGTTCGGCTCGTTCGTTAAGC